ACTAATAAATAATTGGTAGGTATTTAATTTGAAATCTACCAAATCAATTTAATTTCAGAAACCACTTACATTAGTGTTATAAATCTAGATTTATTATAATAATATGTAGATTCAGTAAAATAATAATATTTTATGTAATAATTAACGAATTTAAAAATGACATCACCGTACGTGATCTACATAGGTAGTTCTTATTTCTAATCTCGAGGACAAAGCACGAGCATAATATCTAATAAATGTAATAATTTTAAATATAATTCCATATTTTATTAAATCAAATAAACTAAACACACTCTAGTCAACTGTAAGTGGTGTAGTATAGTTTGGAGCGAAGACGGAATCCATCCACGATACAAACTATAGGTACACGATCAGTACGCAAAATTCGTGTATAGTTTGTAGTGACGGACTTACAAAGAGACACTCCAAAATATACACGAGCAGTTTCCTATGGGTGCGTCCTGGCCATGTATAGAACGGAAAGACGCTGCTCCGGCTGGTTGGACGTGGGCGGTCGCGACCAGTGCCAGGGCGACTCCGGTGGCCCGCTGTTCCACAACGGAGTGGTCGTCGGCGTCTGCTCCTTTGGTTATGGCTGTGCTCTGCCAGGGTTCCCTGGCGTCAACGCCCGTGTGTCTTCTTTCATTAACTGGATATCGTCAAACGCGTAAATTGATTTTGTTTAACGTTGCGGATCACACTCACTTAAAATAATATACTATGTTTAAATTAAACGACTGTCCAAAAAATGTGTTTTAATGTGGCCCTGATCAAATTTTATTGTGTACCTAAAGTATTTTTGACACTTTCTATGTTCAGATCGACAATATTAAGTTGGAATATGGACACGCTATAGTCGAACTTTAGAACACATATTATTTAGAAAAAACAATATACAGGGTGTGGTTTTGTAATACAACGCCTATCTCAGGGGTGGTCTTACGATATTGATGCCAAAAAAAATATTTTCATGGAAAAATCCATGAAATCAGAAAAATGATATTATTACGCGTCAACCCAAAAATAAAATACACAAAAAAGGCCAACAAATAATAAAACATGATACTTTTTGAAAAAAATCTGCTTTTAAATTCGTGTTTTTTTGGTTATTTGATAAAGAAGAACGGTCATCTGTGACCCAGGCCCGACAGAAACGAGACATACCTCAGTTTTTTTGTCATGTCTTAATTAGTTAAATTATATATTTTTTATATTCGAAATCTATGTATAACACAAAAATATTACCCTTTGTTTTTGTTCAGGCGTTATACAAAAACTAATACAAAATGCCTATTTATCACCAAAATGGTCAATGTATGTACCTAAATGTCTATTACAGCTGCTATGGAATGTATCTAGGTGACCTGGAGATACGGTCTGGGTTTTTTTTGTATGGGGCGTGACCGTTCTTCTTTCTCCAAAAAATGCCCCTATAACCGGTGATTTTTATTACTTTGTATTATTCTCTATCGTATTACCTTCGTAAAACCTAAAATCGTATGTCTCTATCCCTATTACAACGTTTGCAATGATCGTTTGTACAAAGGCCTGCCACAACATTATTCTCCGCTACAGGTAGAGACAATTTTAATTTTAACTAAAATGCTTATTTTACTTCGAAATATTTTGTTTTAATTTGAAATCTAACTTGTCTTTATAAAAATTACAAATCTAGATCCATTTTCAGTTTCGTTGTTAACGAAGCGTTGAATGGCGCGCCCGGAGAGGCTTATTTCAAACGATCATTGCAAACGTTGTGATAGGGATAGAGACATGCGATTTTAGGTTTTACGAAGGTAATACGATAGAGAATAATACAAAGTAATAAAAACCACCAGTTATAGGGACATTTTTTGGAGAAATTTATCAAATAACAAAAAAAAAAACACGAATTTCAAAGCAGACTTTTTTCAAAAAGTATCATTTTATATTATTTGTTGGCCTTTTATGTGTATTTTATGTATTTTTTTTAGTATCGCCTGTTATTTAGCATTATTACTGTTTTTATTTTATCAGGATATACGGATTAGTTTATAAGTTTTCTTTACAATAATTAATTGGAAGAAAATAAATTCTATACAAAATAAAAAAAATCTCAAAAAAATTTTGACCTCTTTTTTGTCGATAAAATAGGTCTAGTTTCATTTATTTTCATATGTACACTTTAACGTGACTCAAACTGTATACCCTTAAAGTTATGGGATATCAAATGGAACACGTTGTATAATACCTAATAGTAAGAAAAATATTTATACTTTTTTTGTCATTACTTTCATGTGTACTACCACCCCTGAGATGGGCGTTGTTTTACAAAACCACATAGAGTAGGGGAGACTCTACACTCGAAGTTGTCGACAATTATGTATACCTGGGACAAACAGTCCAGTTAGGTAGGTCCAACTTCGAGAAAGAGGTCAATCGTCGAATCCAACTCGGATGGGCAGCGTTCGGGAAGCTTCGCCATATACTCATGTCCGAAATACCGCAGTGTCTCAAGACGAAAGTCTTCGAGCAGTGCGTGTTGCCAGTGTTGACATATGGATCCGAAACGTGGTCGCTTACTATGGGCCTCATAAGAAGGCTCAAGGTCACCCAAAGGGCGATGGAGCGGGCTATGCTCGGAGTTTCCCTGCGTGATCGAATCAGAAATGAGGAGATCCGTAGGAGAACCAAAGTAACCGACATAGCTCGCAGAATTGCTAAAATCAAGTGGCAGTGGGCGGGGCACATAGCTCGTAGAGACGATGGCCGTTGGGGCAGGAAAGTTCTCGAGTGGCGACCACGGGCTGGAAAACGTAGCGTGGGCAGGCCTCCTACTAGGTGGACCGACGATCTGGTAAAGGTCGCGGGAAGAGCCTGGATGCGGGCAGCGCAGGACCGTTCATTGTGGAAAACCTTGGGGGAGGCCTTTGTCCAGCAGTGGACGTCATTTGGCTGAAACGAACATAGAGTATAATTATTTATTTATAAGGTGGGACGCTTAAGCGTCTAGAAAAAATAAGTGTCACATACGTTATGGATGGATGTTTTTAAATGGTCAAAATAATTTTACAAAATAATGCATCCCATGTGGATATGGTGGTCGCATTTAGCGACTATTATTTATTTATCTTTAACGATAAATTTTCTTCGTCCCATACTGAAAGGTAATCTCTATTTAATGGACTATAAGCCAATATAGGTCTCATTAGTGGTGGAAATTTGGACTACTTTTGGTCATTGTCATTTATCCCGTTAATCCCGCTTAACGAACGAACCGCGCGAACTCAGGAACGTTGTCGGGAGGAGGTAACAATATTATCGAGAAGTTTAATTAATCAAAAATTTGCCACTATTTCTAAGAATGGAAAATCCTTGGGAAAACCATCCCAGCATCGTATATCAATATTTATCTACTAATTAGTAGATAAAACAAATGGTTATTGTAAATTATAAGATTATAAAATTTGATAATTGATTGACTGCTTCATCTATATGTATAAATACAAACAGATATTTGAATTATTAGTTATTATTGTTTGCTGCTGACAACAAAATGCGTGCCTTCGTAATCGTTATATTGGGACTTGCTGCTGTGTCAGGTAATTGAATTTATAATTATATTCCATCTTATTTTTACTATTTACAATAAAAAAGGTTAAGCTTAAGGCGAGAGTGAATAGGCTCTTAACGGGCAGGTACCTACGTCCCAGTCTAGACTGCATCTCACTTAATTAACATCAGGAGCATTTGTTGTCAAATACCTGCTTTGTGCCGCATGAAAAAGGTTCTGGAATGGAGACCACTTGTCAGCAGGATCATGTTGGATGTAGGCCGCTACCAACCGGCCAATCCAGAAACCATTGGGGAGGCCTATATTCAACGGTGGACGTCCTGTGTCTGAAATTATGATGACTATGAACATTAAAGAATAACTTAACATCACGCCTGAAGCACATCGAATCGCAGGAGACTATAACTATAAAGGAATAAAAACTTAAACATTCCCAAAAATACTATAATCTCGAGCCAAAATTGCGATTAGCATTCAGGGACTGGGTAGTCAATGCGAAAAAACGCTCAACGGTTGGAATGTGCAGGTGTCAAAATGTCCATACGGACCGGTTGTTAGTGTGGCAGAAAGTATGAACGTCAAAAAGTCCCAGTGCCAAAATGTACATTGTTACCATGGTTACAATGGTTTAGTGACAAATGGTACACATCACAAAATACAAGTATAACAAAAGGTGTGATAGATAAAATGATCAACTGATATATTGTGCTCATGAATAAATTAATAAAATTAAATGTCAAAATGTTCAATGTTCTTGTAGTCTAGTCAATAAAATTTTTTTGGACATTTTTACCTTGATGCATATAAACACGTGTTCACGTTAGCTATTATACAATAAGACGCTTGTTCAAATAAACCCGAAGACATTTTAACTTCAGATCATTTTAACCCCAATCCGTCCCCCGGACACGGCCTGAGCCGAGGTCCGAGCCTACCGTGGCGCCCTCAGGCCGCGTCCGTAGTCCCCCTCGATCGGGCCCACTAGAGTGAGCCCGCCGTAGGCTGGACTTTGGTCCAACACCGCGGTGGGCAACCCTCTAGTTGGGTTCGCCACTGATCGGGCGCCTTATGCGCTCGATACGGCCCGATCGCGAACGTCGGTCTGCGACCGACGCGGACGAGCCTGGGCTTCGCTTCGCGAAGCCCACACTCGGCCTCGTCGGCACGCGCACCGACGATCGCCAAACGGCTAGAGTACCTTCTGTACTCGCCACTCTGCCCGGTGAAGCTGGAAAAGCTCCTCAAGCTACCAGCGCGCGTCCCTTCAAAAAAAAAATCATTTTAACCATTGCTCATTTCGACGTTCATACTTTTTGCCACACTAACAGCCGGTCCGTATGGACATTTTGACACCTGCAGATTCCAACCGTTGAGAGTTTTTTCGCATTGACTACCCAGTCCCAGAATGCAAAAAAGAGGTCAAATTTTTTTTTAGATTTTTTTATAGAATTTTTTTTCTTCCAATTACTTATTGTAAGGAAAACGTAATAACTTTTAAACTAAGCGATATATCCTGATAAAATAAAAACAGTAATAATGGTAAATAACAGGCAATACTAAAAAAATACATAAAATACACAAAAAAGGCCAACAAATAATAAAAAATGATACTTTTTGAAAAAAAATCTGCTTTTAAATTCGTGTTTTTTGGTTATTTGATAAATTTCTCCAAAAAAGGTGGTTTTTATTACTTTGTATTATTTTCTATCGTATTATCTTTGTAAAACCAAAAATCGCATGTCTCTATCCTTATCACAACGTTTGCTATGATCGTTTGAACAAAGGCCTGCCACAATATTATTCTCCGCTACAGGTAGAGACAATTTTAATTTTAACTAAAATGCTTGTTTTACTTCGAAATCTTTTGTTTTTATTTGAAATCTATTTTGTCTTTATCAAAATTACAAATCTAGAGCCATTTTCAGTTTCGTTGTTAACGAAGCGTTGAATGGCGCGCCCGGAGAGGCTTAGTTCAAACGATCATTGCACACGTTGTGATAGGGATAGAGACATGCGATTTTTGGTTTAACGAAGGTAATACGATAGAAAATAATACAAAGTACCTAATAAAAACAATCGGTTATAGGGGCATTTTTTGGAGAAATTTATCAAATATACAAAGAAACGCGAATTTAAAAGC